GTAAAGATCCAGTATTATAGAGTCCAGCATCAGACACTCTCCACAGTGCCTTTCTGCATGACAAGGATACTCTAGCTAACAGCACAAAAGTTTGGTAAAGGAACAACCGACAACCTTTGCAGTTCCTAAATCTTATTTGAGGTTTCTGACACTGTAAAATGGGAGAAGTGCTCACACTTTAAGAACAGCTACTCCTTTAAGAATAGAAAGCCTGTGTTTTTTCAGCCACTTTAAAAACAGTAAAACATTAAAGTGAAAGTAAATCATACATTTACTGCCTTCTCATGCAATGACAGTTATTAAGCTTAAAGACAGATGTTTAAAAATAAAACAGGGTTTACCTGTATCTTCTTCAGTTAGAGCCACTAGATCTCTCTCCATTTCACCCTATTAAAAAGCTGTCAGCATGTTATCAAAAGTTGTTAATGAATGCCCTACTGCATCACAAACTTCTAGTCATTGCAAAGAAACTGCCCTTCAAATCTCAGTATGTGGCAAACTGTATAAATAATTGCAGACTAGAAACTGCAGTTCAGACAGTGAACTGACAACTACATTATATATACGTAACAGGGGTCAGCACTTACACTTTAATTACCTCCTGATTAAGTCTATACACAGTGCATGTTATAAGCAAAAATTCTTTATAGTTGGCTAAGGGATAAATGACCTCCAATCCAACATGAAGGGGTGTAAAAACAATCAGTGATGCCATAGTTTCCATCTTAAAGACCTTAATCTTTCTAAGGAAGAGCCTACTGTTCAGCTGATCTTAAGATTCACATAGAAAAATGAAATTATTTTTTGTAAAAGCATTTCTACTTTACTTAGCATATTGTTCATTCATGATTCAGGAAAGTTTTACACTGAGAATTTTATTGGCCTGGTCTGTAAATGTGTCGTGCCATTTGTAACCAGTGCAACAGCAATAATAAGACGACACGGGGAATATAGAATTTATCTTTATTCCTGATGGCTTATCAACAAACTCTTTCATTCCATAAGTGTGCGAATCATTGTAAGGTTTGATCTCCAGCTGTTGTAAATCACGGTGATGTCATACTTCAAGTATATCAAGGTATATTTAAGAACTGATTTCCATAGCTTTAGGACACAGTTCTAAAGAAGCACAGAACTGGACATCCACTCTTCTTTTATGAAAAAGAGGCTGACAGATAATTGGCAGTAAATTTTCAACTTTCATTGTCACAATTTTCCTGCTAAATGGAAGATCTACAAAATGCCCTTTTGATTACACAACTGAAAAAACCATTAGTTTGATTAGTTGCACACTGTCTTCCAAAACCCAGAAATATATGAAAAAGATTCACACTAGAAAAAAAATAAAAATAATCAAGGCTGAGGAGTAATTTCACAGTGTTACTTTGTAACCAATCCCTGGAGGAAATATCTGTTCCTTTTGTTTCCCTCTGAAAAGCTATGTAATTGATTCCTAACTGCTCCATTAATGCTCCCTATTCCTGTCAGAATCCCTTTGGAAATACGTTAAAGTAACCAGGACCCTCCCCTTGAATGCTGGAATCTGGGATTCTCTGACTTGCATCACATTTCAGGCAGTGGGCCACAGTGGAAGCCCCAGTGTGAAGGGCTGATAAGTATTAATATAGAAGAATAAAGTATATAAAATTATATATTGGAATGTAGAGCAAACCAGGAAACTGTTGCCTTTTGTAATGAGAGACACTGTCTTACAGGCACTATTATGTTATATCAAAAAAATAATCAAAGTATATTTGCTATAGCATGGTTTATTAACTTCTTATACCAGCTTGCAAAATTTTAAATAACCACAGGCAATTCTTTTCAAAGAAAAGGACTCTCCCTGACCTTTCTGTTCCTGTTTCTGTATAGACACACAGAGTTATAAAAGAAGAATGAAGCAGAAAAGATGTGAGCCAACTGCTGAATTATACCCCAGGAACTGTTGTAGTCTCGTGCGTGAAAGTTTGTGTGTCTAGGCAGAGATAGCGACATCAGGTCACCTCTCTTCAACAAATAAGGAGAGAAATACAGAAAAGATGTGATTCAGTTTGATTCCTAATTATCCTTAAATGAGGTTGTGTTGGGTGATCTCGAGCAGCTTGCACAAGGATATCAGCTTCCTGATTGCTTTTTCCTTTGAGAAAGGCAGATTTCCTAACACAAACGAAAATATCCTTATGAAATACCTATGTTCATGTTCCAATCTAAATTTAAGAGATGGTACAGATGAAACATCCATGTTTTTAGTTTCCCCCCAGTCAAAGTTTTTTAAATAAAAACACTAGAATTATAGTAAAGATGATTCTGTGGGCTACATAATTAAATTAAGAAGAAAACCACTAAACATTGCATGTTTTGACCATACATTCCCTGAAAGAGCACTGAAGTTACTAATTATTTTCATCCCTGATTTTAAGCTTACTAACCTGATGACCATGAAAATGCATCAACCTTGGCAGCCACACAACTTATGGAAAACTTCTCTTCCGCTATGGGTCATCATCTTAACTTTCACAGTTACAGACCCCACTGTTGTATTATGTACATTCTTGACTTCAGTACACTGGGTGGCAGTATGGAAGGCTTTTTGTTCAAAATGTCTTTTATGGTAATAACTTAATGCAAAATGGCAAAGTTAAAATAAGAAATTAATTTACAGATTAGATTATAAATAGTAGAATACTTAGAAGCAGGGTAGGGGGGTGTCTCCATGCTTCTTGTTAAAATGGCAATCGATAAAACTACTTGATAAAAGGCCCAATTTTAAGTAGATTATAACTTCAGTGCTGTCTGGTCTGAACATTTCATACTGCATATCTGCTTTGGACTTTTTTTCCACTGTGGAAAATTTCAGCTAGTGTAATTTAGCTATTTCTGAGAATACGGCAGAGACAAGAATAGTATTCTGCTGTGTCAACAGACTGTCGTGACTTCTTTTGAAATCTGTAGCATATCCATGTCTTGCAGCAGAAAATAAAATTTGGGAGTAAACTGGCTGTTTCTGGGATTAAATGAGAAAAGGGAGACTTAGATATTATTGGCGGGGGAAGGGAGTGAACATTTGAAAGCAAAAAGGGTCCCCAGCAGACATCTGATCCATTCATATCACTCATTTGATATACGGAGGTCCTGGACTAAGGTCTTAACAGTCAAGAGAGTTGAAATTTTCACTGAAGGCTTGGCTTTTTCCTCCTTGCTCTTGTCATAACATTCCTGCATTATAATAAGTAATAAGGAAAATTTTTTAATTCTTGCTTCTCAGTTCTCCTGTTAATTCTTTTTTCTTTGTTTTTGGGTAGTGCAGTGAGGAAATTAAGTTGACATGTAGAAAGTCTGGTAATTCAGTTCCAGCTGCAGCTGATGGTTTTGGGCAACCTGTCATGGATATTCACAATTCTATGTATTTTTCAAAACCCTCAACAGGAGAAAATTCAGGCCAAACTGCAATGGATTTTTAGGGCCTTAAATCTTCCTCTGCCACAGGTTTTGAAAATTTAGAAAGACAAATTTAGAATTCCCAGAGGGCACTGTGAAGATAATTAATTATTTATCTGTGAAACATTCTGGCTAGTTAGACCAGTGAATCCACGTGGAAACTTAGATTTTCTTTCCCAGAAGGAATTGAATGATATATCACAATAAAGAAAATATAATACTGATTGACGCTGTTCATGAATGAACAGTGTCCATTTTGCATCACTGAATGCATCAGGGTTCTGGGTAAAAGAAGCAGATGTAATGATATATACTTTAAACAAGGCAGGCAAATTTTGCTGCACACAAAATATAACACTGGAATTTCTTAAATTCTTTTTCTTTCCCTAGTGCAGTTATCTGTTGCACCCAAAAAGATATTTAGCAAAGCACATACTAACTTGCAGATAATAACATTTGCTATATTATGTTGAGGTAAAGAGTTTATATTTTGAATGGTGACATTATCCCTGAGTTCATGAAGAAACATTCCCCCCTTAGACATCTGATAGCATATTTATCTATCACACAATTTTATATTTTCTTCTGAAGCATCTAGTATTGACAATTTTTTGAGACAGGATATTTGACCTGTATCATCAGTCTGATCATTTCCCCAGGTTTGCATGTGAACTGAGGATGCTATAGGATCTGAGCCCGAGAAGCACTTATGGAGGTAGCTGAAATGGAGTGAGGGCTTAAATCATTGCTGCGTCTCAGAAACAAACAAGACAATGTTGCATGTAAGCAGAGAAGCTAAAAGCAGTCTCCATTCTACAAGGAATATCCAGGAAAGATTAATGTAAAACCTTAACCTGGTACTTTTGCCTTCCCTTATAATGACATCAGTAAACATCTTCAATATTGAATTTTGCTTATTATTAAAATGGCCTAATACAAATACAGACATTAAGCCAGATAGATGCAGAGATCTGTATAACTGCAGACAAGAGCATCTAGACCAGAAATACTGCCAATGACTACCAAGACAAGCAAACCTGACTAAACACAACTCCACACAGACTTCTGAATGCAGGACTTTAAAAGAAGGATGATCCCTCATCTCCATTTAGTATCATACTTCACCAAACCTTCCTCGGGCCTTCTAGTTGAACCTGTACCAGTCAATTCCTTCCTCCTTTGAAATGTCATCACTACCCCTATTGAAATTGTGCCTGTGACACAGAAACGACCTCTCATTCTGAAACAGGACAGTAAAGTAGTTTTTACAAATACTTGTAGATGACTTATTCTCAGTTTCGTGAAGGTTGCACAATTCCTTGTAACACTGTTGTCTACTGTATGATTCTTGTTAAATTACCTTAGCAATGCCGAAAAAGATTTCTGGTTTTACTTGTTCAGATTTAATGAGGTTCTGTCAGTGAAACTAAATCTTGTGAGCAGAAGATTGTTTTAGCACATAATAGATAGAGAATCAAGATAATATATTCAATATACTCAAATATCAAAAATAAACTGAAAAATAAAAACATGACAGCTTTATTTCTGAGAGGAAACAGTACCTTTTTCCTGTCATATAAGGCATGGTTATCCAATATCATCTTCCTTTCGTGAGTAGCGTATCTCCTCAAATCACGTCCAAATTGCTGAAAAAGATACAGCAAATTTGAGCAATTCTGACAAAGCAAAATTGTTATCCTTTGTATAAGCTCTCCAACACTGAACCAAATAATAAACAGACCTGTAAAAATGACCTCTATTAAAAGACAATAGGCTGAAAAAATGGATCACCTGAAAGGACAATGTTTTGAGAGGCATGGTCCATCAATTCAGTTGGTTAGTCTGAGAATAGATGGGTACTCTATGAGAAAGTAAGCTTATGTAGAGCCTGTGATGGGCTCCCACAGTCTGTAGGTGAATTATCTCAACAGGGAGCAGGAGATGAGTGAGGCAGAGAAAGACAGAGTCATTGCCTACTCATCAAGGGGCTTCATAAAGTGCATTTTATTTTAGACACCCACCTACAGAGTTGAGAGAAGGGCTTTTAAGTAACCAAGCGCTTCCAGGATATGAAGGACTCTGAAGCTGCAGGACTTAATCCAAGGTCCAAATAAATACATTTTATTATCTCAAAACAGAAAAGTGACTGAAGAAACTCATCAGCTCAGCAGGAGAATACATCAATTGCAGCATTTTGCCTGGCCTAAAACATCCTGCTTCCAATTAACCTGAGTAGGAAAGAGTGGCAATGTACCTGTACTGCATCGAGCATATCAAAAAGATCATTCAAAGCAGGCTCAGGAGCTCTCCATTATACCATGTAATCACTCCCTAAGACAACGCACATAAGAAGGCAAGCATGTAAAACAGATTATAAAATAATTCTGCCTGGAAAGAGATTAATCACTTGAGTTTTGAGTTTGCAGTTAGATAGAATCTTTTCTTTTTAAAATATTGTACTATTTTATGTTATACCCATTGACTGCAGTGTCTATTGTGACAATAGCTATCATATCAAGTTTTCTCAACTTAGTAAAATATCCATCAAAATATATTTTATTCTACTTCAAAGCTAATGTGTAAATTTTAAAATTTTCTAATTTTTAACAATTTAAAACACTCAAAATACAACCAAAAGAAAGCATTAATATGAATCCAAAACGAAAGATGCCAAATTGCTTCCAGTTTCCTACAAAACAAATTAATTTCCAATTGAGAACATCTTTTCCTCAAATGTTTAATTTCCTGTAAAATTCTGTGACACTTTCCAGATCATCTCTCTTTTAAATTGCTTGTTAACACTACTATTGTGTAATAAGACAACTCAACTGACTGAAAATTTAGTTCTCCAGTCCATGAACCTAAATACTAAGCTTCGAAGAATACAGATGTCAGCTCCTCTAGAGAGATATCCATAAATGTCATTCGACATTGATGAGTTCATCAGCTCCAAGCTATGTGTGGATGACAGCATGAAATATGACATGTGGAGAGAAGGAACATTTTTCAAAAATTCAAGAACACTTAATGATCCTGCAACAGCAAAAATAGATTAGCAATGCTAATAAAACAAATATTGTTGTGGTTACGTACCCTGGAGCCTGTCCAGCCCAACAGAGCATATGCATATTGCTCAAAGGGGGTTATGACCAGATCAACACGGATTGCCTTCCAGTCTTTGACTTCTGCCATATCAAAGTTTTTTGACATGTTGTAACTGCTGTTGTCCACTCTTGGCTGATATAATTTTAAAATTGCAAAACACTTCTGAAAATGATCCATGGCATCAACATTTCTGCTTGGTAGTTGTTCTTTTACAAATGTTGATTCAATGATATCACAATATAAGAGTAAGCCCTAAAGAGAAAACATTGGTCACATTGAATTGATGGACTGGTTTTACTGTCATTCTAGAGTTTCTAGAGAGTTGCTGTAAAAAAATTCACACACAATGCAGTTTCAGTAAACACAGAACTCTACTGGACCAAATCTGAGCTAAACAGAGAAAAGAAAAAGCTGCAACATTTGGAAAAATATTACCTGATCCTTTGAGGGAAATCTGCAGTGGTAATCATCCAATAGTGGCAATGTCCTGCCCTGTACTAAGGAGACAACATTTGCAATTCTTCCCTTCATCCTTTCCTCCTAAACCTTTCGTAGTTGATGTCAACAGTAATTTCTGAGTAGGGACTGATGCTTTCCCATGTGGCAAACATCAAGAAAAACAGATTAGTCCAGAGCACAATCTTGCTGACAGATTCCAAACAGAACATTTGGACGGTGTCTGTTGCGTGAGATTTTCGTGTGGCAAGGTCTGGAGTCTCCAGAAACATCAAATCACCCTGCTCTTGCCTTCTGTTTGAAGGGAGTACACCAAAAAACTATTGATACTTAAGAGCCAGATTTTATTAAAGCATAAACAAGACTTTTAATAATAAAGACCATTCAGAGTGAGAAAAATGGAAGTAACAAAGTGTTATGAATGAATTCCTTCTAATCCATCACTGTAGGAAGGGCTCAGTGGAAGGAGGTAGTACAGTGCTGTTTTCCACCCTTGCTCTGTAGCCAGCAACCTTTCAATGGCTCCCAAGGTGACACTATAACTTCCTCTCTAGGCTCTTAAGAAAAGCATCTTTCTGTCATTCCTCAGGCCTGTCTTTATGCCTGTTCTTTGCATTTCTAGGCAGCTTCCAAGCTGCCTACTGATTTGCTGGACATCTCAGACTTACCCTGCACTTCCAAAGCTTCTTAGAGCTCTGCATGTTCAGCTACTCTCAGGTAAATGCAATCTCTCCTCACCAGACAGAAGACCTCTCATCACTCAAAGCATAGCACCTGGAACAAGACAAGGAGCACCAGTCCTCTCTCTCCTGCCCAGTACATCCTTTGTAATGAATACAAAACGTCAAATGCACAATAACAAAGAAATAAAGTATATGTTATTCATCACACTACCTCTTTCAGTCATCCTTGAGTCTTCAGAATTGAAATAGAGCTTGATGCATAATAGTATAGCACTGAAGCCATCTCTAGCAGGAGGGCTAAGCTAGCAAAAGGATTCTGCTTTCTGAGTGATTCCACATGATGAAAACACATGTATGCCTAAGCCCTGCTACGCTCAGCATCAATTTAGTTTTCTAGATTCATAAAATATAGGAGACCACTGTGATTACTTCCTCTAGCTCCTCATTTCACAGGAAGCAGTCTTCTGAGATTTGCCTTTGCAAAAGAAATTTAACTTTTTTACAAATGTTAGCAACTGTATTGCATAAACCCTTTCTTCATAGTCTGTTAGATGTTTAATTGTTATTGCTAGAAGGAAAACTACTAAGCTGAATTTCCTAACTTCACCTTCTGACTAGATAAGCTCATTAGTTTTCATCTTCAAGATTGATAAGACTACAATTGTTACATGTCTCTTTATATCTCTTTTTATATTTCTTTAAACCTACACATTTATCAAACCCACTGCTTTATCACTGATGAGATTAATAAATTCAGTTTCTTAAAATTTCCATCATCGTGAGTTGTTTAGGTCCTTGGATCAATTTTATATCTCTCTTTTAAAGTCCCTGAAATGTTTACATGTTCTCCTTCTTCTGGACTCAGAATTCTTATACTAGTCTCAACGTAAAAAACGTGGTAAAGAATGCTTCCTGACTTTTAGTTAACATATCCCTGTACCATATGGTAAAGAATCATATTAGTTTTGTGGGGTTTATTTGAATTGTAATGTTGAACTAAGAGTGTATAGAAGTGATTTTATTTGATGGCTGTTGATATTTAACTACAATGGTCTTCAGGTGAGACCTCTTATGAACAAAGATGACAATGTACTGCTTTTTGGAAGAGTACCTCCATAAAAACCACCAGGTTTTGATTATTTATTTTATACAATGCAAGTGTAGTAACTTTACATGTTAATATGTTAAATGCCTTAGAGACTACTTTACAGCAATAGAATTACTTTTATCACTCAGCACTATAATTCTAACCAAAAAAAAAAAACATAACAAAAGTATAACAAGATATGATTCCCTTGAAGAGAAACTGTCAGGTTTTGTTGACGATAGTTACAAATAAACAATCCCATTATTTTACTGGGAATCAGTTACAGTCTATTTTATGGGTCATTGGGCCAATTTTTTGGTAACTATTTGACTTGCATTGATGTTCTTTTACTTCTTTGGAATTTTTCCTGATTTTGAAGATTTATTATAAACTAATATGAGAAAACTCCTTATGTAGCTCATTCTCTTGGATTACTAGTTTCCAAGTCTGCTGCTTTGAAAATGCTTAATTTTAGCATGTGCTCTCTCATATCCATCTTTATAACATTCTTACTATTTTCAAATACAGATTCAGAACATCAAAACAAATGCATAACTGCTGATTATCTCACTCTTTTTGATGAAACTGTGCCTGCCTTCAGGTTAAATTTGTTGCTTTTCATGTTAAAAAATGCTTTTAATCTCATTCATCATTGACCATTAATTGATGACGTCAAGCTTTTATTAAGCACTGACATTCTTCCCATTCTCTGTAAAAATCTTCTAGCTACTTCATCAGTGCTTTCTCATCTTTTGCTTCATTTTCATTTTTGCTCTTCGAGATTTGGGGTATTATATAGCATAAACCAGAATGAATCTAAATAATTTATTTTCCTAGGCAGAATCCTAACTAGATTAACTTTTGGTAAAGTCTTATTTTATACTTCCAAGTACCTACCTGTATGCTGTTTGTAGTGTGCTCAGATCAGCAGTTCTGCACTTTTGCCACAGCCTGTATTAGTGTTTGTGTCCTCTTTGTTCAAGTGAAGTTCAGATCTCCCCAATTTTGGTGCAAGAAATTAGGAATTAAGGACCATGTTTACATGCAATATGAGAGACCCTGGCCCAGGTTGCCCAGAAAAGCTGTGGATGCCCCATCCCTAGAGGTATTAAGACCAGGCTGGATGGGGCTTTGAGCAACCTGGCCTGGTGGGAGGTGTCCCTGCCCATGGCAGGGAGTTGGAACTTGGTGATCTTTACAGTCCCTTCCAATTCTAACCATTCTATTTTATGATGAATTCCTACTGTAGGTGGATTAGTAGGATTTTTGTTTCTGACAGAAAGATGGAATTCTATAAAGTGGAACAGCCCAAGGAACTGATGCCTGGGAGCAGTCAAGCATGTTAGGGTGAGGAATCATTAACAAAAGCATCAAAGGCTTGATCAGCAATAAAAAACTTTGCAGCTGCTGCATAATCACACAGCTGCTTTGGTCCCTTTTTCATCTTGAAGTTCCCCGTACATCAGAACAGTCTAATTCTGGGCATGTCCTGAATAGCCTGGGTTTGACAGACCAGTACTGGAGTCCAGGAATAAAAATGTTTCCTTCTCTCTCTATGCCATGAACATTTGCACTGATTAATCTTTTTTGTATTGTGCCTTAGAAACGGGTTTTGTTGCTGCTGAAATCCAGCTGTCACTCAATAATAAAAACGCTGCTGTTCCATGAACGCTGTTTACAAAAACTTGTTTCCAGCAATGAAAAAGTGAGACTGGTTACTTGCTCCTCACCATTTACCTTAATGGAACATCATGCCTTCCCCTTCCTGACATGTTCATCTGAGCAAGAGTGAATAATAGAGTCTAAACCAGACCACTAATATACTAAAATAAGTAAGCACAGCCAGGCATCTACATTCTTCATTTTCCTAAAAACCAAAAGAAAAATGCAGCATTATAATTACATTAATACAAAGGGAAAAAATGAAGAGTGCAGGAATGCCTGTAGTAACAGTATCTCTTCCTTTGTTGAAAGTATATACGTAACAACAGGAACAGTGCTAAATAGTTATATAGGTTTTTAACAAAAACGAAGCTGCATTGACACAGATGGCTCAGCCTGTTTTCCCATGGACTTCGAAGCTCTAACTCACAGAATTAATTTCTTACTTTCTTTATGAAGCTTTTTGGAACCATTAAAACCAAAACCTGTGTACTACACCACAGATTTTCTGTTTTGCCATTCTACTCTGAAGCTCAAAGGAGACTTAGTTTTCTCTGTTCCTTGGTCCATTTATGGTGATGCTGCACCAAAGAGTATGAGTGTGTTGATTTAATCACGTAGTTTTCAACAGCTTTCAATGGAAGGATCTTGTTACATTAAATTTTTTGGCCAAGAAAAAGGCCTTTTTGAAATATTTAAATAAGGCTGAGATCCATAATCATAGTTTAGAAGTTAAACATTGCAGAATCCTTCGCTAAGAGCTGCTGAAAGTAAGCCAACATCATGACCTCAGTGATGTTCTCTGATGAATTTGGGTTTTGGAGCAGTAGCACAAAAGTGGAAAGCTGTGAAGCAGACGGCAGGTGTGCTGTCAAAAAGTATAAAAGCGCTT